TCGCCGAAGATTCGCTACGCCATGTCGCTGCTGCGAGGACCCGCCATGGATTGGTGGCGCGTCATCGTCACGAAGCCGACGGACTATCAGACTCTACCGACACGGGAAGGACAAACCGGACCCTGGGCGCCGTCATATTTCGTGGAAGTGCCCCAGTATCGCACGTGGGATGTGTGGTGCGCGGGTCTGCGCGCGAGATTCGAGCCGATTGCGGCTTCTCGGTTCCGTCCAGGACTACACCAGCGGGTTTTTGGCGCTGTGTGAGCAGGTGGGCTATATGCACGAGGGCGAGCGCATCGACCGCTACATCGGCGGCCTGAAGCACGAAATCGCTCAGGAAATCCAGCTCCGCAACGTCACCGAATTTCAGGAGATTCTTGCTATGGCGGAAAAACTTGATTTTCTTTGCCGACCGAGATCGGGGTCCTACGGCAATAACAGCAGCTGGGGACATCGACCTCGTGGGACGAACGAGCACGCCACGATACGCGCTGTCGCCGCAAATGCCGCTGCCGCACCGTTCAAAGGGCGCTTCTTCGCGTGCAACAGGTCGGGACACCGCAAAAGCGAATGTGCGGAAAATGCTAAGGGAAAGGGGGAAGCTTAGCAGCCGAAACAGACCAAGCAGCAGGGAAACGCTGGGAGTCAGTAGCAGACGGGCCCTCTACTGACAGGTCACGCCGCTCGCCCGACCCAACCGACCCTCACCGAGTGATTGTGCCGGTTCACGCAATCGACCACACCCGGCCGAATAAGGAGGGTACCGCGGTAGATAGCCCCATACTGCTTAGTGGGAAGATTGGAACAGATTTAGTTAAAATATTCGTAGACGGGGGAGCCAGCCACAGCCTCATCAACACTGCCACAGCACGGAAACTGAAACTGCCACTGGACAGATGTTTACCTGAGATTGACGCAAGACTGGTCGACGGCACGCCACTGGCGATACGGGAACGTGTGGACCGAGTTCGGATTCGATGTGGGGGTAACTTCACGTTTAGTCAGGAAATGCTCGCAACGACCCTCGACGGAAGCGACATTTTACTCGGCCGTGATTGGCTGCGACGACACAATCCGCGAATCGACTGGACGACGGGTGACTGCACCGTGCGAGTGAACGGTAACAACATCGCCTTACCTCGCTGGAGCTCACCTGAGTCTTCGTCGGTGCGCGTCAACGCGATCACGATGAAACGCGCCGTAGCGGCAGGGGCTGACGTGTATGCGGTTGACATCCGGGAAGCCGAGGCAGCAGACAAAGGGGGGGATTTACATAAACTGCTCGCCGACGTACCGAATGACTTGGCAGCGTTACTGAAGCAGTACAGTGGGATTTTTCCGGACGATCTGCCGACAGGACTGCCACCTCAACGACCGCACGACCACAGGATAGAACTAGAATCGGGGGCACAGCCGAAAGTACAACGACAGTTCCGACTGACCCAACCCGAACTGGACGAACTACGGAAGCAAATGGATTACCTGCTCGAAAAGGAGTTTATTCGCCCGAGCTCGTCACCGTTCGCAGCACCAATACTGTTCACGCCGAAGAAAGACGGGGGATTTCGCATGTGCATAGATTACCGCGCACTGAACCGAGTTACCATCAAGTCCCGTTACCCCATCCCGCGAGCCGACGAACTGATCGACCAACTGCGCACAGCCCGGGTTTTCTCGAAAATCGACCTTCGAGGAGGCTACCACCAAATCCGTGTCAACCCGCCCGACTGACCGAAAACCGCCTTCCGAACACGCTACGGATCATTCAAATACACGGTAATGCCCTTCGGACTGACCAACGCCCCCGCCACATTCCAAATGACCATGAACGAAGCCTTCCGCCCACTTTTAGATAAGTGCGTCATCGTATACTTAGACGACATACTGATCTACAGCACAGACCGAGCACAGCACCTACGGGACATCGAAGCTGTTTTTAAAATACTGAGTGAGAACCGCCTACTGACCAAAGCCTCTAAGTGTGAGTTTCTACAGGACAGACTGGAGTTTTTAGGGCACATAATTTCAGCCAACGGAGTGGAAATAGACCCGAAAAAGATCGCGACGATTCAAGCATGGCACGCACCGACCAACTTGACCGAGTTGCAGAGTTTTCTGGGGTTCGTCAACTACGTGCGACGGTTCGTCCCCGACATGGCGCAGTTGACTGCCCCGTTGACCGACATGCTGAGGAAGGGGGTTGAGTACACGTGGGGGGAGAAAGAGCAAGCTGCCTTCTCGGCCCTAAAAAAATTTTTGTGCTCGCCGCCCGTGCTTCGCATCGCAGATCCTCACCGTCCGTTCGAGCTCGTCACCGACGCAAGTGACATCGCTGTGGGAGCAGTACTGTTGCAGGACTTCGGGAACGGCCTTCAACCAATCGCGTACGAGTCCCGCAAACTTCACCCGCCCGAACGCAACTACCCGATACACGACCGCGAGATGTTGGCGATCGTGCACGCGTTCAAGGTGTGGCGGTGCTACCTGACAGGAGCCAACGTGACAGTACGGACAGACCATCGTGCACTACAGTACCTCCGCGCCCAACCGAACCTCAATCCGCGACAGATTCGCTGGTTGGACTATCTGGAGTCCAACTTCCACTACACCGTCACGTACAAAAAGGGAGCGTCGAATATCGCTGACGCACTCACCCGCCCCACTGCCCAACTTCACGCCATCCTACTTGCCCAAACCAACCCACTGTTAACAGGCCTATTCACCCACGGATACAGTACCGACCCATTCTTCACGATCGGAAATTCACAGCAACTGGCAGAAGCAAAGGGAGTCTATTACGTAAAAATAGGCACCAACCGCATTTGGGTACCCGCGTACTCACTACTGAGGGAACTGCTACTGAAGGAGGCACACGACGGGGTTACCTCGGGTCACTTCGGGGTAGAAAAAACGCGACACATACTGCAGCGGTATTACTACTGGCCGGAGCTGTTGACCGACGTACAGCACCACGTGGGCTCCTGTCCTACGTGTGAGGTGATGAAAATCTCGCGAAAAAAAAATAAGGCGGGTCAGTTGCAGCCGATTCCACCGCCCGAGCGCGCCTGGCAGCAGGTTACCATGGATTTCGTCACTGGGTTACCTTCGAACCCTGGGGGTAACGACGCAATTATGGTCATCGTTGACAGACTGACGAAAATGGCTCACTTCGCTGCGTGCAGGAAATCGATCTCAGCCGAAGAAACGGCTCGCCTGTTCATCGCAACCTATCGTCCGACTGCACAGGATACCAGCCGCGATAATCAGCGACCGCGATACGAAGTTTACCAGCAACTTCTGGAAGAACCTTTGGGAGCAGTTCGGGACCAGGCTACAGTTCAGCTCGTCGTACCACCCCGAGACCGACGGTCAAACGGAGCGGACGAATCAAACCATGGAGCAGCTGTTCCGTGCCACGTGCGACGACCCGACAACATGGGAGCAGCAGCTGCCGCTGATCGAGTTCGCCTACAACAACGCCACGTCAGCGACGACGCAGCAGTCCCCGTTTTACCTGAACTACGGGCAAAACCCAACAGTGCCCATGACGCCGAGTTCGGACAACCCAACGCCACGCGCACAACAATTTGCCGAGATTCTGCAAGCTGCCCGCACTAGAGCCGCAGAAGCGATTAAAAAGGCAAATGTCATCGCTAAGAGAAATGTTGACCGCCACCGCCGCCCAGTCACGTACCAGTCAGGAGACTACGTACTGCTCGACACACAGAATTTAAGACTGCCCGTCGTACCGAAACTTCGACCGCGATACTGTGGACCGTTCCAAATCAGCCACATGATCACCCCAGTTACCGCCCATTTGCTGTTGCCGACAGACTGGTACATCAGCCCATCATTCAACGTCAGCCTGCTTCGCCCTTACATCCCAACCACGAGCCAACTGCCTCGTCACCGCCCGCCATCCATGACTCGCCCTGCATCGGAGCCTCGTTGAGCCTGAGAAAATATTAAGCCATCGGATTCGACACCCCGCATGCATCACGATGATCGAGTTCCTCGTTCGCTGGAAGGACCGCACGCCAACTGAGGATAGCTGGGTGCCCCTGGCCAACATCGAAAACCACCCTGCCCTGCAAGTGTACCTGGGGAGCCGGGGTTTCCGCGATATACACGCAATCGCGTAGCGGAGGGGGCTTCTTGAGGGGGGGGTAGTGTAAGGAATTTTTCATCATTCCTTGCCGCGTTCTTCAACATCGCGTACAGCAGCAGCCGTTGTTCTCCCGTTACTGCTAACGGGGCTTCGCCAACTTCGCGCGCACTGTTTTACCAAACCTTGCTCTGCTGGCCTGGCCGAGTCGGCCCACGCTTCGGGACTAGCCCGAACCTCGATGCCAGCCTAGCACTAGCTAGCTCGCACGCACCGCGTAACCGTTGCATGTTTTGCACATAAGTATTCGCTCATGCCTTCGCTCATACTTTGTACTTTTGACCCACATAGTGCAATCATTGCTACCTCGTTCCATTGCACCCGTAACACTACACTACAACAAGCTAGAAGCAAATATATAAAATATATAAAATATGTTGCAGAAATTGCTAACATGAAGCCATGGCAAAAATCAGTTATCCCCGGAAATCTCTAAGCACATCGAGTATGTGGCGATCAAATGCGTAAAATGAGTTCTCAATCACAAAATGTAAGGATTTCTCCTTTTTTTTTACAGCCACAACATGAAAACATAGTGTAATGGTGCGTTATTGGGCTAGAATTTGTTACCATTGCTACAACAAAATATGTCGCGAAGAGTGAACGGACCCATCGTTAGACCGTCAGGATGCCTTCTGCGCTGGCAGTTCCAAGGCTCTGCATAGCTCCACCCACCAATGCCGAAGCTCGTACACGGAAAGTCTGAACAGTTGAGGAAAACGGTGTCAGCCTGAGTTGAGGGTGTCAGTAGCCATTAGTAGCAGTCCTCGCAACGCCTCTGCAAACTCGTATAATCTAAGTTCATTCAAAAAGGGAAGAGTGTCGGGACAGAATCATGGCTGTAAGCGTGCTGTCGGAAAGCAGGCATCGTCGTCGATGGTCCGTTCCCGTGATGCCCGTAGCAGCTTTTCTCCTGGTTGCTTGCGCCAGCTGTTTTCTGACAACTAGGGCACGTGGCGAGAGCTCGTTGGTGGGCCACGGCGAGCGTCCGTCGTTTCACACGAAGTTCCCGCGCAGGCCGCGGAGCGAAGCCCGCGTGGTAGAGGCGAATGTAGAGAATCAGACGCTGACAATTGGCGTGCTCACGGGGGAGGAGCTGGGGCAAGGCCTGTCGTTCCGCTCAGGTGCGACACTCCTAGTGCGACATTCTTACTGTGCGACACTCCTGTTGCGACATTCTCACTGTGCGACACTCCTGGTGCGACATTCCCACTGTGCGACACACCTATTACCATGCGAAGTTCTCACCTTCCGAAGCTCTTACCATGGAACATTCTCACCTTGCGAGACTCTTAGTATTACCATGCGACACTTTCACTGTGCGGAACTCTTACCATGCGACATGCTCACCCTTCGAAACTCTTACCATGCGACTCTCACCGTGCGAAGCTTTTTTTACCATGCGACATTCTTATCGTGAAAAACTATCCTCTTGCGAATCTCACCGTGAAAAAACTCTCTTTATGCTCTCAAAGTGCGACTCTTTCTCTCAACATTGCAAAGCACTCACTATGCGTGGGCGAGTTGGCTACGAAGCCTTGTAAGCTTGTATATTAACTCCCACTCACATCTTTTGAGGCGTCTCAAAAGACGTCTCAAAACTCCCAGTCACATCTCGCCCGCATTTCTGTTCAAAGATAATCACCTGTAGACGATTTTTTGCACTACGCTTGCTGAATGAATTTTCTCTGGCAACACCTTGACCCGCGGTTATGGACAACCCTGGCGAATTACTCAAGGGCTACCAATTTCGCCAAGAGCTTTTCACAACTGCCGTGCTTCAATCACAGCCATCTGGCTGCGCTCGCGGATGTGCAAGCAAACCCCTCCTTCCCTTATCTGCTGAGACTTTTTGTGAGGCGCCTTGAAAATCATCCATGTTTCGTCTTCCCCCTCCGTTGTCCAATCACAGCCATCCGGCTGGCGTTGGAGGATGTTCAGGCAGACCCCTCCTTGACGTTCCCCTATCCACTGAGGCTCTCTTTTGGTAACACGGGAAGCACCAGGTTCCAGGCACAGGCAGCAGGTGCGTGTTCTTCCTTGCAAGCCCATGCTCGCATGTCACGATCCATGCTTCCCGCATGTTAACAACGCATGCTCGCATGTCACCATTCATGCTTCCCGCATGTTAACAACTCACCTCGCCGTTTCATGCCATGAACTCACGATCATACGTCACAATCCAGCCCTTTTTGCTCCCAAAATTTCTATAGTCGACTCAAAAGCAAACCTGGTTTTCCTGGTCCCACACCACATCAGATCGCCAAACTTCACGACTTCTGACTGAGGCACCTCAATATGCGTTTCCTTGGTCTCACATCCCATCGCATTGCGCCACACCACACCACACCACACCACACCACACCACACCACACCACACCACACCGCACCGCACCGCACCGCACCGCACCACACCACGCCACACCACACCACTCCACACCGCACCGCACCGCACCGCACCACATCACATCACTTCATGCACACAGCACTGCAGACGATGCTTGGCGACGCGCTGCTGGTGCTGGGGCCTGAATACTCGTCCCAGGCTCACAGCATCATCGACCTGTGCCGCGACTACCAGGTACACTACTACACTAATCCACAACAAGTACAGTAGTATTCTGCAGCACAATATGCATTAATCAGTACAGTACAGCGTCCTTTTAGTGCTGGTGAAGTTACATGGATTCTGGTAGCACGCCAACTCCCGCCTGCCCGCCACCTCCCAGTCCCCCCGCCCGCCTTATTCCGCCCCCCCCCTTCTGCTGGTACTGAGCTATTCACGGGACAGTTTCCCTTCTTCATTACCCATCTCCCCCCCGTTCCCCCCTTCCCCCATCTCCCTCCCTCCAGGTGCCGATGCTGAGCTTTTCAGCCACGGAACCCACTCTATCGTCCAAGGGGCAGTTCCCCTTCTTACAAGCAGGCTCCCCCCCGCTTCCGCTTCCCCACCCCTCCCCCCTTCCCCCATCTCCCTCCCTCCAGGTGCCGATGCTGAGCTTTTCAGCCACGGAACCCACTCTATCGTCCAAGGGGCAGTTCCCCTTCTTACAAGCAGGCTCCCCCCCGCTTCCGCTTCCCCACCCCTCCCCCCTTCCCCCATCTCCCTCCCCCCAGGTGCCGATGCTGAGCTTTTCAGCCACGGAACCCACTCTATCGTCCAAGGGGCAGTTCCCCTTCTTACAAGCAGGCTCCCCCCCGCTTCCGCTTCCCCACCCCTCCCCCCTTCCCCCATCTCCCTCCCCCCAGGTGCCGATGCTGAGCTTTTCAGCCACGGAACCCACTCTATCGTCCAAGGGGCAGTTCCCCTTCTTACAAGCAGGCTCCCCCCCGCTTCCGCTTCCCCACCCCTCCCCCCTTCCCCCATCTCCCTCCCCCCAGGTGCCGATGCTGAGCTTTTCAGCCACGGAACCCACTCTATCGTCCAAGGGGCAGTTCCCCTTCTTACAAGCAGGCTCCCCCCCGCTTCCGCTTCCCCACCCCTCCCCCCTTCCCCCATCTCCCTCCCTCCAGGTGCCGATGCTGAGCTTTTCAGCCACGGAACCCACTCTATCGTCCAAGGGGCAGTTCCCCTTCTTACAAGCAGGCTCCCCCCCGCTTCCGCTTCCCCACCCCTCCCCCCTTCCCCCATCTCCCTCCCTCCAGGTGCCGATGCTGAGCTTTTCAGCCACGGAACCCACTCTATCGTCCAAGGGGCAGTTCCCCTTCTTACAAGCAGGCTCCCCCCCGCTTCCGCTTCCCCACCCCTCCCCCCTTCCCCCATCTCCCTCCCCCCAGGTGCCGATGCTGAGCTTTTCAGCCACGGACCCCTCGTTATCGTCCAAGGGGCAGTTCCCCTTCTTCCAAGCAGGCTCCCCCCCGCTTCCGCTTCCCCACCCCTCCCACCTTCCCCCATCTCCCTCCCCCCAGGTGCCGATGCTGAGCTTTTCAGCCACGGACCCCTCGTTATCGTCCAAGGGGCAGTTCCCCTTCTTCCTGCGCCTCAGAAGCACGCTCCCCCCGCTTCTGCTTCCCCACCCCTCCCCTCTCCTCCCTCCTCCCTCCCCCTCTCCTTCCCCCTCTCCCTCTCCCTCTCCCTCTCCCCCCTGTCTCCCTTCCCCACCCCACCCCAGGTGCCGATGCTGAGCTTCTCGGCAACGGATCCTACACTGTCATCCAAGGGGCAGTTCCCCTACTTCGTGCGTCTGAGCCACAGCGACCAGATGGAGATGGAGGTGATTGCTGGTGAGTGACAAGGGGTGCTGCTGGGTGGGTGGGTGGGAGTTGAGGTGGTGGCCTGTGGGTGACAAGGGGTGCTGCCCCACGCTGTCATCCAAAGGGCGGTTCCCCTACTTCGTGCGTCTGAGCCACAGCGACCAGATGGAGATGGAGGTGATTGCGGGTGAGTTGTCATCATAGTCCCCGCGAATGCTTCCTGGTGGGTGCTGCTCGGCGGGCGGGTGAGAAAATATATTCAGAGAGTTGACTAAGAAGTGTGCGGGTGAGCCACAGCGACCAGATGGAGATGGAGGTGGTGGCGGGTGAGTCATAGTCCACACAGACCTACTGCAGTACTACCAGTGGCGGCATCATAGTCCGCACAAGTGCTGCCTGGTGTAGTCCACACACACCTACGGCAGTACTACCAGTGGCACCAGGCCATGATGATCTTGTATGACTCCTCTTTCCAGTACTACCCAACCTTCCGTTCTCACCCTCCCTGACCCACCGCCCCCTCTTCCCCCCAAATCCCCATCCCCCCTCCCCTTTTCCTTCCTGCCATTCTCGTCCCTCCCCACCTAAGTTGCGGAAGACGCGTCTAGCGTCTTAGACGCTGGCGTCTAGACGCAGCGTCTAAGACGCTAGACGCAAGTGTAGGCCAGATTAGACGCAGGATCAGACGGAAGCCCGGGCAGGCAAAAAAAGTTCGGGCAACCTAAAAAAACTTCTATGGGGCATGGGGAGGGTGGAGGACATGCACGTGTGTCACAATTGGATCAATTTTTCCCCGTACCATAATTTTTTTCCCCATACTTAGAGTTCACAAATGTCTTCACATCTCATCATACATAGTTCGGGAAAATTATACTTCTTATTCTCTTCCATATCCTTGGAAACACGAGCGGAAGAACCCTCGCCGACGGCATCGTCGTTCGCGGAGGCGGAACTAGACGAATGAGTTGGAGACGACATGGTTTCGCGAAGGAACTAGCAAAACCCTAAAGGGTTTTTGAAAGAGAATTGGAAGAAATGAAAGATGGGGAGCACAAATGGGGGATTTGTGCTCCCCAACCTCTTGGTGGTTAGCCATAGAGGTTGGGTTTTCTAGATACTAAGCGGTGCAGTGAGGTTTGTGTTCAATTTTGGTGGGGGGGGGAATCAAATTTGCTTGGGGGGCTGGTTTCTATGGTCGAAATGGGTGGGAGGGGGTTCCAAAGTCGCGAAATTGAATTTCGCGTCGAAATCGCAAAATTCAATTTCACGCGCGCGGATTTTTTTTTTCGGGCTGCCCGAAAAAATTGCCCCATGCGTCTAGCGTCTAAAGGTGCGTCTTGCGTCTAGCGTCTAGACGCTAGACGCAGGACGGTCCCTGCGTCTTCTGCAACTAAGCTCCCCACACAGACATAATGCAGTACCACCAGTGGCACCAAGCCATCATGATCTGATCTGTCATGTTTCCTCGTTCCGCTTCTTCCCTTCCACCCTCCCTCCCCCCCCCCCCCCCCCCCCCCAACAGACATACTGCAGTACTACCAGTGGCACCAGGCCATCATGATCTATTCAGACGATGAGTTTGGGCACAATGGCATGGACGCGCTCACCAACATCCTCATGGCCAAGGTTGGTTGTTCTTTCATGTACCACATGGCATGGCATGACATGGCATGGCATGGCATGGCATGGCATGACATGGCATGACATGGCATGGACGCGCTCACTAACATCCTCATGGCCAAGGTTGGTTGTTCTTTCATGTACCACATGGCATGGCATGACATGGCATGGACGCGCTCACTAACATCCTCATGGCCAAGGTTGGTTTCACATGGCATGGTAGTATGTATGGCATGGCATGACATAATATGGTGGTATGTATGACATGGCATGGCATGGTATGGTAGTATGTATGGCATGGCATGGCATGGTAGTATGTATGGCATTGCATGGCATGGTATGGTATGGTAGTATGTATGGCATGGCATGGCATGGTATGGCATGGCATGGTTTGCTTTTGGGCACAATGGCATGGACGCGCTCACCAACATCCTCATGGCTAAGGTACCACGACGGTGCTGGGTGGCATGCCATGGCATGGGTTATGATCCCTGGCATGCAACACTTGAGTGACATGCAACACATGCTCCACACACTGCCAGTCGCAGCAGCTGCCTCTACAATGCTCCAACAAGGTGCCTCTGAGCCCTTTGAGTCCGCACGCATCCCTCCCTCTCTACCCCATTCTCACACACTGCCCATCCCTGCCCCATCTCTTCCTCCGCCCCCTTACCCCCTCTCTTTTGCTCCGCACACTGCCAGTGGCTGCAGCTGCCTGCCGCTGTGCCCCTAAACCCTGGACCCGCGCACATCCCTCCGTCACTATCCCATTCTCACACACTGCCCATCCTTACCCCATCCCCGCCCCATCCTTGCCCCATCTCTGCCCCATCCCTGCCCCATGATTGCCCTATCCCTGCACCCATCCCCGCCCCCATCCCCCCCCCTCATCCCGGCCCCCACACCCACCAGTTGCAGCAGCTGCCGTTGCAGTTCTCCAACAAGGTCGCTCTGGATCCGCGTGCATCCCTCCTTTCTTACCCTTTTTCTTTCGCCTTACCCACTCCCTGCCCCACCGGGCCATCCCCCCATTTTCACACCGCCAGTCGCAGCAGCTGCCGCTGCAGTTCTCCAACAAGGTGGCTCTGGACCCACGGGCCACCAACGAGGAGATAACGCAGCTGCTGCGCGCCATGCAGTCCTCCGAGACCTCCGTCTTTGTCGTCCACGTCGCCTCCTCCAACGTGCTCTTCCTCTTGGACGAAGGTGCGTATGTGTGTACGGCTCGGCTCTCAAGAGACAAGTCACGACTCACAACTCAGGGCGAACATGCAGTATTTTTGAGTCGACTAAAAAATGGGCGAACATGCAGTCCTCCGAGAGACCTCCGTCTTCGTCGTCCACGTCGCCTCCTCCGACGTCCTCTTCCTCCTTGACGAAGGTGTTTATGTGTGTAGCCCCTGGAGGGACTAGCTCTCAGTCACGACAAAGTGCGGACATACAGACCTCGAGGTTCGAGTACTTGGCCGTCCACGTCGCCTCCTCCAACGTCCTCTTCCTCCTTGGCAAAGGTACGCACGCACGCCTCTAGTCATGGCTAATAGAGAATATGCGGTCCTCCGAGAACTCTGTCTGTCTTCGTAGTCCACGTCGCCTCCTCCAACGTCCTCTTCCTCTTCGATGAAGGCACGCCGCTTCCCATGCCACTGCGCCTCAGAAAATGCCTCCTCTGTGACCGTTTTTTTGCCCACTCAAGCCTAAAAATGCGTTTCGGCGCAAGAGTCGGATCCAGTTTGATTTTGCCTGACCTCAAATGTCAACTCAGCTCATCAGCCAATGTCTCTTTCATTGTCCGTGTAGCCTACAATCTGTGCGCGTCGTCTTCCCATGAATTGTCTCCCGGTTTGCAGCACAGCATATGAGGGTTACAATTGAGGGTTACATGTGGACATTCAATCTCTCTCCCCTCCCTTCCGACCCTCTCCCCTCGCGTTTCTCCCGGGCTGCAGTGCAGCGCATGGGGCAGATTGACCGAAGGGTACGGGTGGATATCCAGAGGTTTCTATCTCCCTCTCACCACCATGCCTCTTTCTCTCCCCCCACCTTCCTTGTCATTTTCCCCGGTTGCAGCGCAGCGCATGGGGCTGATGAGCGAGGGGTACGTGTGGATATCTACCGAGGCTGTCATTTCCCACCCACCTCCCTTGCCATTTTTGAACCAACCCCCCCTCTTCTCGCCCACCTTCCTCCCCTGTACCCCCGCGTTTCTCCCGGGCTGCAGCGCAGCGCATGGGGCTGATGAGCGAGGGGTACGTGTGGATATCCACAGAGGGCGCAATCTCCCTCCTCATGGGCGCCAACATGAACTCCACCTACCTCAGCTCTCTCACTGTATGTAGTGGCAATGATTTGTGAGACATCACAGAAATGGATATCCATGGAGGGCGCTATGGTATTTCCCTCCTCATGGGGAGTAACATGAACTCCCACCTACCGCAGCTCTCTCACTGTATGTCGTGATTGATGTGTAGCAGCCAATGTGTGGGATTGAAGGCTTGCAACCTAGTGCTCTTACTGTGAGTGTGTATGACACATTCAATCTCCTGCCCTCCTCATGGGGAGTAACATGAACTCCCACCTACCGCAGCTCTCTCACTGTATGTCGTGATTGATGTGTAGCAGCCAATGTGTGGGATTGAAGGCTTGCAACCTAGTGCTCTTACTGTGAGTGTGTATGACACATTCAATCTCCTGCCCTCCTCATGGGGAGTAACATGAACTCCCACCTACCGCAGCTCTCTCACTGTATGTCGTGATTGATGAGTAGCAGCCAATGTGTGGGATTGAAGGCTTGCAACCTAGTGCTCTTACTGTGAGTGTGTATGACACATTCAATCTCCTGCCCTCCTCATGGGGAGTAACATGAACTCCACCTACCTCAGTGCTCTCACTGTATGTAGCAGTGAATGTGTGGCAGTGAATGTGTGGCAGCAAATGCGCAGCAGTCAATGTGTGGCAGTCAATCTGTAGCAGTCACGGTTAGCAGCCTAGTGCTCTCACTGTGAGTGAGTGTGTAGCAACCAACACTCCGTGCATGGCCCGGCTGTGTTGTAGTCACTTATGAGAATTCCCAAAAGCGTATTGAGAGCTCCACCTACCTCAGCACTCGCTGCTCCAACCCACCCTCCCTCCGTCTTCCCCTGTGAGCGTGCACCAGGGCATGGTGGGCACACGAGTGGCCATTCGGGACAACCCGCGCTTGCTGGCACTTGAATTGGACATCATCCCATTATCTTACTTCTGACCACCCAACAACCCCCCCCCCCCCTCCCCCAACACCCGCACCAGGGCATGGTGGGCACGCGAGTGGCCATTCGGGACAACCCGCGCTTGCTGGAGTTCAAGAGGTGATGGAAGGGCCTCGACACCGTCAAGTACCCCGGCTCTGGCAGCGACACTGTACGTGCTTTTGAGGAACCGACACCGTACGTGCTTTTGAGGAACCAACAGTGTACGCGCTTTTTGAGGAATTGACACCGTACGTGCTTTTGGGTAACCGACACCGTACGTGCTTTTGAGGGACCGACACTGTACGCGTCTTGTTTTTTAGGCGCCTCAGAATTGGGCGATGGAAGGGCGTAGACACCGTCAAGTACCCCGGCTCTGGCACCGACACCGTACGTAGTCTGACACTGCATGGTGTTTTTAGAACTAAAAAAACACGGTACATAGTCTGGCCCTCCTCCTCCTCCTCCTCCTCCTCCTCCTCCTCCTCCTCCTCCTCCTCCTCCTCCTCCTCCTCCTCCTCCTCCTCCTCATCCTCCTCCTCCTCATCCTCCTCCTCCTCCTCCTCCTCCTCCTCCTCCTCCTCCTCCTCCTCCTCCTCCTCCTCCTCCTCCTCCTCCTCCTCCTCCTCCTCCTCCTCCCCCTCCTCCACTCATCCCCATCACCCCTTTCACGCCTCTCCCCACACACCACTCTTACACGCACACCTTATCCACCGCCCATCTCCCCCACTTCATTACCATGGCCGTGAACCGAACCCACCATCCTCTCACCCAAATACTTTTCTCCTCCCCCCCGCCATGTCTCTCCCCACATGCTTCCCCTTACAACCACACGCACAGCACAGGACTCCATGATTGTGATGCCATCCCCCACCAGGTCCCCCCCTACTCATGACTTTTGAGGCGCCTCAAAAGTCGTCCCCCGACCTCCACGATTGTGATGCCATCACCCCGCCAGGTCTCCCCCTACCCTACTCACTGCTCGCCTACGATGCCTCTGGGTGGCGGCCTGAGCCCTGCACAATCTCTTCCACCTGCCAGCCCATATCCAGCACAGTCCTCAACCACAGTAGCCTTTTCCGCCTGGTCTCCCCCCCATCGCCAGGTCTCTCCCTACTCACTGCTCGCCTACGATGCCCTCTGGGTGGCAGCCCGAGCCCTGCACAATCTCTCCCACCTGCCGATAGCCACCACAGGTCTCTCCCTACTCACTGCTCGCCTATGACGCCTTCTGGGTGGCAGCCCGTGCCCAGCACAACCTCTCCCACCTCCCCTTTGCCCTCACAGCACCCCATCCGTCTCACATCTCTCCGCTCCTACCCCATCACCTCTGCAGGTTTCTCCCTACTCACTTCTCGCCTATGACGCCTTCTGGGTGGCAGCCCGTGCCCTGCACAACCTCTCCCACCTCCGAGGCGCCAGCTTTCCCTTCCGCCCGCGCCGCCCTGTTCTGCCCCCGGATGGCGGGGGAAGCACCGATTTTGCGCGGCTCCAAGTCAGCAGGGGTGAGCCGTTAAGGAAAGGTGGTGTGTCCGTGAGGGTGGGTGAGTCATCTCATCAGCAAGGGTGAGTGAGTCAGATCGTCAGCAAGGGTGAGCCGTCAGCACAGAAAGGGTGAGCCGTTAGCAGATTGTTTCTTGTCCTCCAAATTGTCATTTGTGCGGCGCCTCAAATTTGTCCTCCAGTTTGTGCAAGTCCACTGGGTACCTAGGTGCATGCATCCGTGCAGCCCGCCGATCGATTCTCTTGCTGCCTAACTGATCCGAACCCATCGCCTCGAGTCCTGTTTCCATGCCTTGACAGCTGGCGTGAAGATATTGGAGGAGCTGGTCAAGACTAAAATGGATGGAATCATTGGAAAGTGAGTGTTGTTGATGAGTGTTTTAGTCAAGGTTCCTCCTGCCCCCGCCCGCATGGTGGATGACCAATCTAGCATAGCATGAATGAATTCCCGTGGTCATGCTTTCATGTGATGTGAGGACCCATGGATCCTTCGTCAATGGGAATCCTTTGAAGTGGGATTGCGCTTGCATTGCAACGGGCAGCCTTTCCAAGGCTGTTCAATGCAGTGCAAAATCAAACCCATTATCCCTCCAGCCTGGGCTCCCCCACCCTCTCTGTCTCCCTCTACCACCCCAACCCTCCCCGCCTTCCTTTCTCTCCCCTTCCTTCCTTCGGCTGTGCTTCCAGCATTGACTTTGACAAAAGAGCTACGAAGTGGACCTTTAACGCGTCTCACAACTTTGCTCTCTCTCCTTCCTTCCTTCGGCTGTGCTTCCAGCATTGACTTTGACAAAAGAGCTACGAAGTGGACCTTTAACGCGTCTCACAACTTTGCTCTCTCTCTCTCTCCTTCCTTCCTTCCTTCCTTCGGCTATGCTTCCACGGTTGCCTTTCACACGAACCATGATCGTGTGGGAGTGGGCTACGAGTTGTGGCACGGCTCAGGGTCTTGACTTGTTTCTCTCTCCGTGCCATCTCCTGCTGTGCACAGGGTTGCGTTCGACAAGAGCCTTGACCGTGTGGGAGTGAGCTATGAGGTGGTCATTGCTGTGAGGGGTTATGGCACGGCTCAGGGTCTTGACCCGTTTCTCTCTCCTTCCCACCTCCTGTTGTCCTTCCTTCCAGGGTTGCATTTGACAAGTACCATGGCCGCGTCAGAGTAAGCTACAAGGTAGACTGTTGACATGTCTCCCTCCTCTCTCCTTCTCTCTCTGTTCTCTCTCCTTGCCACCTCCTGCTGTGCAACCAGGGTTGCATTTGACAAGAACCACGACCGAGTGGGAGTGAGCTACGAGGTGGTCAATCTGGTGGCGTCAACCTTTGAAACGCTCGGCTACTGGGAGCAGGGCAAGGGCCTCGTGGCTGCCCCTGTGAGTAGCCCTCTCCTTCCTGCATGCACGCATGTGTAAAAGGCTTGTGCATGCGGTCCCTGGATCATTGCTGTAGAAAGAGTGAATGCGCTATAAGTTGGTCAATCTGGTGGCGTCAACCTTTGAAAACGCTCGGCTACTGGGAGCAGGGCAAGGGCCTCGTGGCTGCCCCTGTGAGTAGCCCTCTTCTCTTCCTTCCTGCATGCACGTGCGGTACACTTGTGGCTGCCTCACATCCGTTCCTGCTTTCTTCCTTTCTTCTCTCTGACACCCTTCCCCCCCCACCTCCCCCTTCCTCCTCGTTCTCGTCTCCCCACTCCCTTAACCGCGTTTTGTTTTATGTGTCTCCCTGTGCTTGCACCCTGTTCTCCTCCCATCCCTCCACACTTCGTGGTTCCATTCGAGTGATTTTCAGGTCACTCGATAGCCTGCACCCTGCTCTCCTCCCATCCCACCCCTCCATGCATCCCATTGGCAGTCGAAAGAGCCATCGAACACCACCCTCAGGCCTGCATTTTGAGTCGACTAAGAGATCTGTCCTCCCCTCGCACCCCTCCATGCTTCCCATTGCCAGTCGAAAGAGCCATCCAACACCACCCTCAAGCCTGCTGTGTGGCCCGGCAATACCGCTAAGGTAACACCTCTTCAAAGTAACACATCTCCGAGGTTACACCTATCAGTCAACGCAAGCCACAGTTGGGCCTACACTTCAAAGCAAGACGATGTACACAACTCGAAGCCTGCTTTGAAGTGTACAATCTGCTTCAGATTGTACAATCTGCTTTCACACCTTCAAGCCTGCTATTGTCACACTCTGAGATAGCACAACAATTTGCCTGTGTGGTTTTTTTCCAAAAGTAAATCCAGCCTAGTGTTGTACTCTCCGTGCTGTGGCTTCCGAGCCGAACCAAAAGCGATTTCACCACCTCCAAGCAGTGCCATGCTCTCCTCTCAGCGCGCGTGGTCGTTTACACTCTCCGGCTTTAGAACCCCACAAAAGCCCAAAACGTACCAACAGACAGATTTGGTTTGCGTCATTGCATCTGATCCAGAGCAGCAACTTTTCCCTCATCCTCTCACTTCCTCCTCGCTCTCTCTCTCCTCCTCTCCCAGTTTCCTCGAGGCTGGTTACCGTCCAAAGGCAAGGCGTTACGCATTGCAGTCGATTTTTGAGTCGACTCAAAAGCCTTCTCCCGTACCTCGCTCTTCCCCATCCTCTCACTTGCTCGCTCTCCCACCCCCTCTCCCAGTTTCCTCGAGGCTGGTTACCGTCCAAAGGCAAGGCGTTACGCATTGCAGTCCCTTTCGGCCCTTCGGTAAGCTCCTTTGTCCCTCCATCTATATCCTATCATCCATCCTCCCCCCTCCCCGTTTTCTCGTCTACATCGGAGTCACTTCTGAAGTTTGTTTCTCAAAACTGA